AAGCCCACCCAGAGGGACCAAGTTCAAGTACTTGGTCCCTCTGGGTAGCTGGCTGTGACCAGGCAGTGACTACAACCTTGCCCCCTGTCAGCCCCATTATACACCTGGGAATTCAGATCATACACATAAAGTTATTGGACTACTTTCTGCCAACCCTATACATGTTCTTAGGTGCACTCTCTACTTCATATACATACCTAATATTTCAGCCTGTCTACCCATCTAGCCACCCATATACCCGTGTTTGCCTTCACTGACCACACCGTACTATATGTGCAAAAGGGTTCATCTTTGTTGTCTGTACTTCCCATGTACCTCTCTATGACACATTAAATTTTCAAATGTTCAATTAGTTCTCAATCCTTGTCTGTCTTAGCTACATGGTTGTAATCTGATTCACTAGCTTTCAACAAGTAAATCTACTGATCTAGGAATCAAAATCTTAAATTAGTGTTTTTCCCAACAAACAATAGAAAAAGGTGATTCCCCAAATCTAAATTGGAATGGTTTCACTTAAGAGTTAGTCAAATGAGAAAATAGCACCAAGTGTAATTATTGATATCTAGTAATTTTAAGTTGCACTGATATGATCATTACATCATAGTACACACATAAACAAGATGTCCAATCACATTTTCTACACTAATTAGCAGTTTCATTCACATAGATCAATTCCCTAGTGAATCTGTTTCAGACCCACTGACTATTCTTTATGATGATACCTAAATTCAAACATTAGTACTTTATTTTATACATGTACTTTTTGTAAGGTTTTAAATTAAGATGTCTTTTTTTTTTTTTTAATCAGAAGGATTAAAAGATAGGAATCCAATGGCTTGGTGGCTTAGGAAGAATACTTGGTGATGGTGGCTCATTAAATTTGGCTCTAGCATATTCTGATTAAGATTGAGACTTAAAAAGTAAGCTGGAGCTTGATTAGCTGCAGTTCCAATTTTGATTATTTGGAAAATATATTTTGTTCTTCCCCTCAATTTGGATGGCCTGCTATGCAGCTGCTAATGAATTACAACCATGTCCTCTTTCTTTCTTCTTACGAACAATCTTCATCTGAGAATTATGATTCTTGGTCTTCTGTCTATTAAGCGGTTGCTGGTTCTTACTAACATTCCTAGATTGGGGAATGTAATGTTATCTCTCTCTACTACTCTTCAGCTTCTTTGTCATTGCTCAGCTGCTTTCCAGATTGTAGGATTTCTGCTATCTGTCCCCTTCCTACTGCCTAGGCGAAGATAGTAGGTGCTGCTTTCTGAGGGATCTTTTGCTTTGTCTGAATACAGAAGCTTTCAATACAGAAGCTTTCGTGGGTTGAGCTGAGTTCAGCATGGGAGCTGAGGCCAACATCTGAGTCTCCTTAGCACTCAAGTTTGAGAAAAGTCCTAGTGACTTCAAGTTAGGAACTATGGCAGTGGCAGTGGCTCCTACACGATGCCGAAGCCTCCCTCCCTTTCAGGGAGAGACAAGGCATGGAATGAACAAAGCCTTCAAGCTACGGACCACCTCAGCATCTCTGATCTGACTTCCTCCTTCTACTTCTACCAACCTTCTCATCAATTTTAAAATGATAATCATGGACCATCAAACTATATTAATCAAGTTCTAATTAATAGTCAGTGAAAAATGGCAGAATAATGAAGGGGGGGGGAAAGGGAAAATGAACAAAAATGTAGAGGAAAGATGAGGTCACCTCAAAATGGCAATGGACACATACATGAACTCACACACACAACTGCAGGTCCACACAAGGTACACAGAGAAAACCACATACCTACACATTACCATATGCACAGACCCAGAATGAAAAAAAACAGATAATAAAAAGGAAGAAGGCAAATGAGAAAGGAGAAGGAAAGAGAAAGACCAATTCATTTTATGCAGAGAGATGTGTGGGGAATGTTTGTGTTTAGGAGGACATACACACAACTCAGCGTGCCTGAAGTTGTGAAAATGCCAACTATTGTTTAATAAAGTCTAAAGATAAAAATATAACTCATCTACTTATTGTGGAGGGCCGGGGAGGAAGGGAAAAGGAGGGTGCTGATCAAAAGAGCCAAAAACTTTTACATACATTTATTAACAGGAAAAAGTTTTAAATATAGGAAGTTTTGTTGTCATGTGTATTAAGGTTTTAATTTCAACTACCTAAAATTTGGAGACAGTGTTTTTAGAAGCATTTTTGACAACAATTCTAACCTAACTTTCAAAAGTGAGGAAATGTTAAAATATGTTTTGCAAGGAAAGATACCATGGAACCTTCATGGAATAACACACCCATTTTGTGCTTTTCAAAATGGTTAATATTTTCAGAATTATAAGTTTAAATTACATCTTCCATAGATATTATCTCTAAAGGACTGGCCCAGAAAAAAATGTTAGAAGTTCCGCAGTCCTGATTTATAACTATAAAGGATTCACACATAGGAAATGCATATTAGATTTTGTATAAAGGCACACTTTTACATCTCTTAACGTGAAAGCTAGTGGTTCAACTTGAAAAAAATTAGTTTACTTCTTTTCACAGCAAATATCTATATTTTATGTAGATATCTCTATATATAATATATAGATATATTTCTATGTATAGAAATATATCTGTAATTATAACTATTACAAAAGATTATGATAAAAGTTCAAGCAGTATTAATTGCTAACTTTTTAACCTAAAAGCTTCTACATTACTTAAAAGTCATCCTACATAAGAAAGCAGCAAGGCCCAACATTAGCGCTGCATCATAACACAAATACTTTAAACCCCTCTTCCAATTTTGTTGCTGAATGTGAGCCGAAACAAGTCATTCACTCCTGTACCTAATTTTTCTGTAATACTGATTTAAGCTATCAGTCTAGAGTGAGGATAATCCAGTATTTATTATGAAACATTTGCAAATAAAACACCGTAACTGTTAAACAGTGGTAAAACATTGATCAAATATGGAAAATTTGCAGAAAGTGAATGAGAGGCTCACCTCCCGAGAAATGATTCCCGCTCTTCGTGCTCTACTTCCCAGAACAAAAGAAAACTCACTGACTTGGGCCAGCCCAGCGGACACAATCCATTTGATATACTGGCTGCTCTTTGGCAAAATGAGAGATAAGACGAGTGCTGCCAAAACAAACTGCGAGAACAGCCTTCATGTTATTTTTGAAAACAAAGCCCCAGATAAGTTAAGACACTTATAACTAAAACACATATAAAATACAGAAACTACATACAAATATCAAAACACTGAAATAGTACTTGAATAACTTATAAAGTGAGGGAAAACGCACATAGAAGTACTTCAAACATGCATGAGGCACCACATAAATGTTGTCGTCATGTGCCGTCGAGTTGGACCCGACTCATAGTGACCCCTCCTTTTTCTGAGGCGGCATCACTATGGAAGTAGATTGCCCAACCTTCCTTCTGAGGAGTGGCTGGGGGTTTGAACCACCAGACTTCTGATTAGCTGTCACGTGCCTTAGGCACTACACTACCAGAGCTCCTAACCATATAAATACAAAGTATTTTAAAATAAATCCACAGAGAAGAAGAAGAAGGTAAAATCAAAGGTTTAAGTTCACTAGAAGAAGAAAAAAGGAGCTCTGGTGGTGTAGTGGATAAGGCCATTGGCTGCTAACCAGAAGGTCACTGGTTCAAACCCACCACCTGCTGTGTGGGAGGAAGATGGGGCGATCTACTTCTGTAAAAATTTATAGCCTCAGAAATCCAATGAGGGTCACTAGGAGCTGGAATCAACTTGACAGCAGTGGTTTTTTTTTTTTTTTTTTTTTTTTAAGGAGTGGAAAAAAGGGTTTTTTCCTCTAAACCAAACGAATAGCATTATATATTAAGTAGCACTCAAGATAGACTTTTTTTTTTTAATAAGAGAAATTAATCTCTCATGTAAACAAAATCCAGAGGTAAGCAGTCAAAAGCTGGTATGGCAATTCAGCAAACATTAGAGATTCCAGCTTCTTAAGACAGAAATATTTTAAGTCAATTTTTAAAATCTAGAAAGCCAAGCTGCTGCTACGTAAGTAATCATACCTTCAAATAAATGTCAGCATGCGCAACTCAGTAATTTGTAGTAATAGAGAGTAGACAAACAGAGAGTACTGAAATAATTTTCTGCTGGTTGTTTTTAAAATGTATCTTTGCATACATCAGGACAGTGGGGCTTTGCTCTTTAAAGTCATTTGAAACAGTAGTCAAATTAAAATGCAAGGACTTAACCTGAGGATACAGAAGGTTGTTTCCCTCTTTCCAATTTTTGGTAATTCCCAATTTAAACATACTCAATTCTAAACCAAACAATCTATTAATACTGATCCAATCCACCTCAGTCTAACATAAACCTGCCAGAGCCCCTGCCAAGAGCAGATGAGCAAGAGAACCTCCTCTTAAATGTGGGTTATGACCAATGTCGGAGGGAGACTGATGAGATTTCAAAACAGCCAGAAAATGAGCACTCTCAGAGATCTGTCAGTTTTAAATGTCCTCTCAGAAAGAACTGTGGGGGTTTCATAGGTGTTATGCAGTCATTGCTAAGAAATGAGGCCCAAGAGAAAGGAAGAAGTATGTGCTTTGTAAAATAAAAATAGTATGAATTTTACCAATCATGAAAAAACTAAGAGAAAAAAACTGTACCTTCATGATCACCACTGACAAAGTCAGGAACATCAAGACAGTGAGTTCATATATTACAAAAGTAGGGAACACATGAAGCCCTGTTAGCAAAATAGAATAAATACGTTAATTCTTGTGTGAGTACAGGAATAGGCTCCCAACAAATTTTTACTCATTTCCAATTCTAAATCTACAGATTTTAGTGTGGTCATTGTACTTGTTTCAATGGAAGAATTAAATCAAAATGCTAATTAAAAAAATTTATTGTGATTTGGGTGAAAATTTACAGAGCAAATTCAGTTTCCACACAGACGTCATACACATTTTGTTTCATGACATTGACTGCAATTCCCCACAATGTAATAGTTCTCTTCTATTTCCTCCCTGTAGTTGCCTCTTCCCTGTGTCCTTTCCTATGCATTCCTGTCCCCCGAGCTATCTCCCGTGCAAATACTGCCTTTCTGTCCTCCCATAATTGATTGTTCTAAGGAGTGTATCTACCTGATATAAATGTTCACCCTATATGCCTCTTGTTTGGCTGGAAGCCACGGAAGTGAGTTTGGTTCCAGACCTGAAGGGTAACTAGGGGCCATAGTCTTGGGGTCTCACCAGGCTGTATCAGACCAGTAAACCTTGTCTTTTTAATGCAAAATCCTAAATTATTTCAAGTACAATTTTTTCATGTCATTTACTTAAGCACTCATAAAAGCATTTGCCGTAAGCCTATTCCTTACCTAAAACCAAAAAACCAAATTCACTGCCTTTGAGTAGATTCTGACTCAAAATATAAAACTTTAGGAAGTAGCAGGGTGGCTGGTGGGTTTGAACCACCAACCTTCTAGTTAGCAGTCAAATGCCTTAGGCACTACACCACCAGAGCTCCCTGTTCATGATCTAGCTCTTCAAAATACTCTCTCCTTTCCCAGATGAACCAGAGAAAAGGCTGCCAGCAAAAGGATAAATTACCTCCGTGCTATATCCTAAATCCTTCACTCCCTCCGGCAGACTTTACCTTCAGGAAAAGAAAGTAAGATCTGATGGGAAGCAGTTACTAAGTCTAATTTTCCTTTATGAAACTATCTCAGCATGACACAGATGATTCTGGGAATCTATGAATGAGTAAGAATAGGCACCAAAAAGGAAAGCCATATATATTTAAGTTTATAAAGCACCAATACCACCACCACGAATGCAATTCTGAAGGCCATTTAAGTGATGACAAAGATCTCACTAGAGCCTCTTCATAATAAATAATGCTAACACTTTTTAATCCCTTTTTGTTTGCCTCACACATTTTGGAAACACAACAGAATACATTTTTTCCCTGAATATATTTTGTTTGTTTGTTCTAAAATCTTCTCCTAGGAACCTCACCATCCCATTTCTAAATCACATTACTTTTCACAGAGGTTTCTCAGGCATCTTGGTCCTTGCCAAGGTAGACAAAGGAACATATGGTTAGGATGGGGGAAGACAGAGGACTCACTGATCGCTCTACAGGGTCCTAATTATGAGCGTCTCTTCCCCTTTCTTTCTCTTCCCTGGGCTATGTATGTAAGGCTATCTCCATCTCAGTGTACTCTGCCCTTTAAGAAAAACATCGCTGTTTAGAGATCCTTTTCTTTCTATTAAAAGTACTTGGGCACTCTATTTAAAATCAAACTCATTAACTTTTATTATTCACAAATCATCTATCTCTATTTTACTCAGAAACACAATGAAAAAAATTCCTTTTTCCTCCAAAGGTATAATTTCTTCTTTCTTTGAAATTCAAAGACACCTACCACCTTTTAATAGTTGATTCCCTAGCTGGTATTTAACAACGAATATATGTGCTTTAGCCTACATTCTCCAAGTTTTTTCCCCCTTAGTTCCTGGCTGCACATTCTCACTCTTCTTCTTAGGCTCCTCTTCCTCTAGGTCCTCTTTAAATATTTGTATTCTTTAGTGTTCTGTGCTATTAGCTGTTTTCCTTTTTTAACATCCTTTCTGATAGCTTACTCCCTAAACTTGTGCCTTGAAGACAGATCATTATTTTGACCCTAAAATAACTGCCTAATGAACATTTCTCTTGGGATGAACCTCTGGCCCTCACACTTCACATGCCCCTAAATGGAGTCCTCTTTCACTAACTGTGTTTCCCCTAACCCAGTGAATGGCACCACCATTTACCTTTTGCCCTAGTCAGATACTTGAGAGTCTTCCTAATTCTCCACATCAAGTTCATCAAGTTCTGTCAATAGCTTCATGTTAATTCTCAAATATATTCACCTCTCCCCAGCCCTGCTGTGACTATCTGCTTCAGACATCAGTGTTTTTCAAACTCTTGAAATTGACATCTACAGTATGAAATTATTTACATTATGATCCAATATCCATACGTATAAAACTAAAATAAGTTTAGTGAGTAATTCCTACCCTTACTATGTGACACACTGTGGTATTTTCTGTCCGTTCCATCTCATTGAAAAATAAATGATGGCTGAGATTCACTGAATGGAGTTCACATTCTCTAACCTATAGTGTGGAAAACACTGGTCTCCATTACTTCAGTGGCTGGCTGTGTGCCTACCTGGTTTCCTATCCCCAAACAAAGTGAAGTAAAAATTTTCTTTCAAACTCAAGATTATGTCATGGTCTTGCTTAAAGTAAAAAGCTTCCAATGATTTCCCCAACACCCTAAGGATCCAGTCCTTACTTTTTCCTTATTTGGCCTTTACCTATGTCCTGCAGCCTAACTTGTTTCTATTCCGCCCACCCCCCCCCCCCAAAAAAAAAAAAAACCAAACTCACTGCTCTCCAGTTGGATCTGACTCATAGTGTCATAGTGATCCCTCCTTGGGTTTCTGAGGTGGTATCACTACGGAAGTAGATTGCCCAACCTACCTTCTGAGGAGTGGCTGGTGGGTTTGAACTGCCAGCCTTCTGGTTAGCAGTCACATGCCTTAGGCACTATGCTACCAGAGCTCCCTCTCCTTCCCTTGGGAATGATATATTCTAATCATACAGATCTTGCTATTCCTATCTCCTGCTTCTGGGCTTTTCTTTCTTCCTAGGACACCATGCCCTTACATGCCTCTGTGCTTAGCTAACTTCTCTTCCTGCTCTTCCTCAGGGTATTAGCCTGGTTTAATTCTTTCTTTCTTTGTTTCCTACAATTAAAAAACAAATATTGTGATTTGGGTGAAAGTTTTCAGAGCAAATTTCTTCATACACATTTCATTCATGACATTGATTGCAATCCCTACAATGTAACAGCTCTCCTCCCACTCCCTCCCTGTGATTACCTTTTCCCTGTGTCCTTTCCTCTGTATTCCTGCCCTCTGAGCTACCTTCCTGCTCAAAACCTGCCCTTCAGATTCCCCATGGTTGACTGTTCTAAGGATTGTACCTCCCTGGTACAACTGTTCAGCTTGCAGGCCTGCCTATTTGGCAAGAAGTTAAAAGCAATGGGAATAAGCCAATTCCAGGCCCAAAGGGTGACCAGTATCCATAATCTCAGGGATCTTACCAGTCTCTATCATACCAGTAAGCCTAGTCTTTTTTGTGATTTTGAGTTTTGTTTCACATATTTCTCCCACTCCATCCAGGATCTTCAATCCAGCTTAATTCTTTAGGAAGTTCTGTCTTCTGTAAGGTGAGTTAAGCATTCTCCAATGTTCTTTTATCCTTTGCTTATTAATACTGGGGGACATTTATATGTTTATTCATTTGTTTCCTGCATCAGTCTGTAAACTCCGTCAAGACAGGGTCTGTGTCTTTGTCATATCCAAACACTTGGCACTGGACGGTGAGCATTCAATAAATACTTGAGGGTAGGAACTCTGACTCAATCATCTATCTTTTGCAGCAAAAAGTACAGCATCTTGCACAAAGTAGGAATTTAATGAATAATTATGAAACAGAATTGATTAAAGTCAGTATTTAGAAACATTAGCAAAAAATATGATATATAAATCCCAACATTTTTGCACATATTAACTTTGACAATTCATCAAATGAGCTATATATTATAGCTTTTTAATTTATGTTCATTCATGTTCGAAACAAATTATCACACATATATTTAACATAAAAATGATAAACAGTATATAAAGACTCTGGGTTAAAACTCTGGATCTATCACTTAATAGTTGTGGATAATGGGCAAGTTTCTTAACTGTTCTCTGCCTTAGTTTCCTCATTCGTAAGGGGGATTTAGGGAAAGTGGTTGTTGTTGTTGTTAGGTGTCATTGAGTCGTCTCACTACAATCTTGGCTATACTTGAGCCCATCACCTCAGCCACTGGGTCAAACCATCTCTTTGAGGGCCTTCCCCTCTTCCGTCAACCCTCCACCTTACCAAGCATGACATCCTTCTCCAGGGAATGGTCCCTTCTGACAACATGACCAAAGTAGGTGAGATGAAGTCTAGACATTCTTGCTCCCAAGGAGCATTCCGGCTGCAATTCTTCCAGGATAGATTTGTTAGTTCTTTTAGCAGTCCACGGTACTTTCAGCATTTTTCGCCAGCACCACAACTCAAAAGCATCAATTCTTCTTCAGTCTTCCTTATTCACTGTCCACTTCTCACATGCATATGAGGCGATTGAAAATATCATGGCTTGTGTTAGGCAGCACCTTAGTCCTCAAGGAGACATCCTTGTTCCTCAGCACTTGAAGGAGGTCCTTTGCAGCGGACTTGTCTGATGTGCTGACTGCTGCTTCCATTGGCATGGACTGTAGAACCAAGCAATGTGAAATCTTTCACAACTTCAATCTTTTCTCCAATTATTGTGATGCTGCTTAGAGGTCCAGTTGTGAGGATTTCTGTTTTCTTTATATTTAGACGTAATCCATACTGCAGACTGTATTCTTCAATCTTCATCAGTATGGGAAAGTGGTGAGTAAATAAAATACGATGTGTAAAGCACATAGCCCAGCAGATACCTAGCACACAGTATGTGTTAATAAATGCTGGCTATCGTGATCACTAATATTCAATGCACTGCACCCCACAGACATTAGAATGCCCTCAAGGTGCTCATACCTAGATTAAATCAGATACAGGAAATTACGTATAATATCACCTAAGTGCTGTCACAGAAGAATAAGGAACAATCAGTAGTGGCTGTTTCTGTAATCTTCTTAATGCCCCAGGAAGGAGGAATATCAAGAAATCCTTGCTGAGAAGTTAATTTTATAAAAAGGAGAACCAAATTATTGATCTTATTCCTAAAACTAGAAGTTACTAGGAATTAATTCTTATGATATAATAACAGGGTTTGGCAAACTTTCTATAAAGGGTCTCCTGGGAAATGCCATAGGCTTTGTGGGCCACATGGTCTCCGTTGCCCCTATTTAACTCTGCCCTTGAAGCACATGTTGTGTTGTTGTTCTGTGCCGTCGAGCTGGACCCAACTCATAGCGATACCTCCTTGGGTTTTGGAGGCGGTATCACTACAGAAGTAGATTGCCCAACCTTGTAGCACATAAGCAACCATAAATAAAATATAAATAAATGAGTGTGGCTATATTCCAACTAAACTTTATTTACAAAAACAGGCCATGGGCCATAGTTTGCCAATGTCTCGTCTATTGGAAAGAACATGGGCTTTACAATCTGGTTCAAAAATCTATAACCATTTACTATCTGCATGAACTTAGATCCATTCTTGAACTTTTTAGTGCTGCTATCCACATCTTTGAAATGACAGATATTGACAACTACTCTGAAGTACTGATGTGAGGTCTGATTAGGGTAAGAGATTCCAATTAGGGCCCAGCACCCTGCCTTAATGCTCAAAGATGGAAGCCCTTATGCTAAACTTCAGACATAGAGTGGCTTTCTTCTGTCATGATACTTTAAAATGGAAAGCATTCTGCAATATGAAATTGGTTTCTGCACTGTAAAGAAAAGAAATGCTTTACTAAGATCTCTTCTACAGATTCCACAAAAGTTAAGGTCTTTTTAGTATTCAATATTTATTACACATTAGAGCCAAATATAAAGTCAGATTATAATGTTTGCTAGTTAACCATGTTTTTTTCCTCTGTCACTGAATCAGAATACATATAAGTATCCTAAAGTGAACCCCTGTTATTGTTTTCTGGTACCTATAGAATAAAAATCAAAGACTTTGGCATAGTATGAAAAACCCTCTGTAATCTCACCCATTTTAATTTTCTAGCCTTATCTCCTACTATCTCACTAAACTCTTCCTGGGCGCTCACAATTTTACCCTCTATGTTTTTGTTCAGGCTATTCCTTCAGCATAGGACACTCACCTTTATTTTTGGCCTAAAAAACCCTACTTTGACTTTTAAGGCCATTCAAATACAATCTCTTCTAAGAAGCAGAGACTGAATCCTTTCAAGTATTAATGGCCACTCATTCCCTCTGTGTACCCACTACTTGTTAACACATCTTTATAGGATTATTTCTTTCTATCCTGCCAGTAGCTGTTGCTAAAAGCAAACTCTTTGGTGGTAACAACTGTGTCTAGTGCATCTTTACAGTTCCTACAGTGTGTATAGTACAGTGCCTAGCACATAGCAAGTATTCAATAAATATTTGTTAAAAAATGGGAATCATTACTCTCATTCATTCATTATGCCTCACTGAAGTATATCTTAGATCCTAAGGACAAAAGTAAAGGTTATCTTCCTAGTTAAACAGATGTCATTTATTTTTGCTTGTTAACCATATTAAAGTATAAGGCTGAAGAAGCCCAGAACAAAAAGTTCTATCCCTGACCAAGTAAGAAAGCACAAACCTAACTGTATACAAGTTTCTCAGCTGGCAGGGAAATTACCTTGAATTACTTTAGATAAATTGAGAGTGTGTATAGTCAAAGCAAAAACACATAGGACTATTATTTATTAGAAAACATGGTTCTCAACACACCAAGAATTCTAATTTGACTAGTACAAAAGCAAGTATGTATGCTTTAAGTAACATAGTCATGGAATTTTAGTTTTAATAACAGCAATTTAAAAATAAACATTTTCAATGATGTCTTAGCAGGCAGTACTAGTTAAACTGACCTGGGAGTAATCTTAAGAATGGAATGCATGACTGGAATGCAGGTTTTTAAAAAAATAAGTTAAAATCTAATCAATTTTATTAGACCTGGCCTACAGAAGAACAGAGAAAAGAGAAGGTAAATCATCAACCTGGAATGGAACCTCAAAGAATCAGAAATTGGTAGTGTTTATTTAGCACTTTGAGGTGTCACCAGTAGTGAAAGCCAAGGTTGTAGGAGAAGCAGCAAAAAAGAAAGGCTCAGGGGAGAGAAGACAAGAAGAAAAAGAGGGGTTCCAAGAAAGAAAGGAGAGCAGAAAGGGGAGAAAGACAGTCAAATACCTGCTGAGGGGGTGCTCTACTGGGATGCAGATGTCTCATTGGGCCTCTTCTGGTTCTGCTCTGATTCCTTACGTACCAAGTAACTTGCAGATCTAAACCAGTTCATGAAATAGCCTTATTTTGCCTTTGATAAAGTACGTGAGCATTCTAACTTTGTTCTCTTTCAGGATTGTCTTGGCTATTCATGGCCTTTAGCATTTCCATATAAATCAGCTTTCTAATTTCAAACATTTCAGTGATAAAGTGCATAAGCTTTCCAAGCAATAAAATGTATTGAGTGAAAAGATGCCAAATGGATCCATTATAACAGGTAAGAGCTCTTTTGATTTTGTTACTATCTGTCACTTCTCCCAAGATTGACCATTCAAAATACCCTGACAAAGTCAAATATCTAGAGTACCACACCTCAGACATTATGAATTTAATTTTTATATAAAAATTAGTATTTTCTCCAAAAATTAGCGTTCTGATTCATTAAATTTAAGTTGCTTATATGAGTTTCCAAAATTTGTCCTCTGTGAAGTCACATGTGCTTCAATGTTAAAAGACGAAGCTCTTAATTTTTCTTTTAGATATTCTGAATTGTCTTTAATGACTACTTTTTAAAATTTCTCTTAACTGTTTTATTGTGATTTGAAGGAGCTCTGGTGGTTCAGTGGTCCAGGCATTCAGCTGCTAACCAAAAGGTTGGTGGTTCAAACCCACTAGCTTCTCTGTGGGAGAAAGTTGAGGCAGTCTGCTTCCATAAAAATTTATAGTCTTTGAAACACTAGGGGCAGTTCTACTCTGTCCTACTGGGTCACTGTAAGTCAGAATCAACTCAATGCCAGTGGGTTTTTTTTGTCTTTTTTTGATTTGGGTGAAAATTCATATAGCAAATTGTTTTTCCAATTCAACAGTTTATTCAGGTTTTGTTTTGTGTCGTTGATTGCAATCCTCACAATACAACAATACTTCTCACTTCCTTCTCCCGGTTACCATTTCACCTAGTCCTTCTTTCCTATCCATTCCTGCCTTCTGAGCTTTATCCCTAGGCAAATGTTCTGCTTTTGATCTCTTATAGTTGACTGTTCTAAGGAGTGTGTAGCTCCTCCCTGGTATTACTGTTCACCTCATAGATCTGTGTTATTGGTTGGCTGAAAGTTGAACCCTGGGACTGAGTTCAGTTCCAAGCTTGATGGGTGACTAAGGGCCATAGTCTCAGGGGTTCCACCAGTCCCTACCAGACCAGTAAGCCTGTTTTTTTTTAAATTTTTTTTTTGTGATTTTGAGTTTTGTTCTACACTTTTCTCCCACTCTATTCAGAATCTCCTAATGTGATCCCTTGCTGAATACTTGGCAGTAGTAGCCAGGCACCATCTAGTTCTTCTGATCTCAGGGTTGTGGGGGCTAAGGTTCATGTGGTCTACTAGTCCCTTGGACTAATTGTTTCCATGTGTCATTGATTTTGACTCTTTTTTGCTCTAGACAAGAAGAGACTGATAGCTACACTTTAGATGGCCACTCACAAGCTTTTACGGCCCCAGTTGTTACTTACACCAAAGCAGGATGCAAAACAATGTCTCTGTGGACTACATTACGCCAATTGACCTTGAAGTCCTCCATGACTACAGTCCTGAATCCACAGGCCCAGCAACTCACTCTCTCAAGGTGTTTGGTTATGGCTAAGAAGTTTTCATAGGTTTGCCTCATTAGCTCTACTGTATATGGACATTTTCACATCACATACAGCGTGATCATTTCTACCTATGTATTCCCTTATATAGGAGCTCTGGTAGCATAGTGCCCAAGGCACTTGACTGCTAACCAGAAGGCTGATGGTTCAAACCCACCAGCCACTCCTCAGAAGGAAGGTTGGGCAATCCTACTTCTGTATGATACTGCCTCGGAAACCCAAGGAGGGTTTGCTATGAGTTGGGGCCGACTTGATGGCACATAACAACAACAACATCCCCTTATATATTAATGTTTGTTATTAGTGATAATGCAGTATTGTATATGTAATAAGTGTTTATCTTTGTTGTAATTCTTGTGCACCGTACTGTATATTCTTAATGCTAATAAAGTATGATAAGTAGTCAACTAACTAATGTCCTTCAGTGCATACTTTTTTCTAACATTTCTTCTAAGACTTTGAAAAAAAAATTGCTGACCACTAGCAATCAAACTTAAGATGTACTGAATAAAGTTAATTTTATAGAAACTGTTTTTACCATATAGAATATAAATATTAAATACATATTATAAACTTAATGCAATTAACAAATACAATTTGAAAATTATAATATAAAGAAAAAAGATTACCTATTGATGCAAAGAAAATGATAGCCAAAAAATCACGAATAGGTTCAATGTAAGACATAATTTCTTCAGTAACCATGTGACCTTGAGAAGAGATCAGTGCTCCAGCCAAGAAACAGCCCAGCTCCATAGAAACATCTAACAGCTCTGTGACCTGAGAAAGGGTGGAAGGATTAAACTTTTTACCAGAAATACATAGTACTGTCTTATTTAGCAACATTTTCAATTTTTAGTAAGATTTACATCCAGAGATGTCCTTAGATCTAGCAGAACCATCACAGTAATAACAATGAAACTATCTAGGAAATAAAAAAAATCATTGAAAAATTTATGTACAACCTGTCAAGTCCCTAATAAGGGCCTCTGTCGGGATGATCTGAGAGATGACATATGGCAGCTAATATTAGCTGAAGTAACAATACAGGAAAGAAAATTTTTTTTATATACTTGAAATAATCATTCATGTAGATTACTATGAGATTTCTGAAAGAGAATATTTTCTAAAATTTATTTTAAATATCTGTAATATGTATTTTTTGCCCTTGAATCAATGAACAGCCTGACTGTGTCATTAAAAACTAAATGTACATGTAATGCTGAACATAAACTCTTAAAATTAAAAAAAAAAAACCAAAACCGTATTGTACAAGAAACCATTCTAACACTCAAACTCAAACCACTTAAAGAAAGCAGATATGGGTTTTAGATGATGTGAAACCAGAGAAAAGCATCAATAAATCTAGAACCTACTAATTTTAATAACTTAATTATGTGAGATAGAAATGGTAAATTGAATAGTCATAATTTATTAGGGTTTCAATTACAATTCTGTTCAATGCAAAGCTTAACACAGATTTCCAGATGAAGAAAAGGCATTAATGATGCAAAACAACTTGCTTTTTTTTTCGAGAAAATAAAACTACAGAAGATAGCAACAACAGATAGATAGAAAGTGAACTTTTAAAGATACCACGTATCAAAAAACATCAAACAATTAGGAATTAATCTGACAAAACAAGTGTACAACCTCTACACTAACCACCATAAAACACCGCTGAGGAACAGTGACTGAAATAAACAGAATATATCATGTTCATTGCTTTGAAAGCTCATTACTACCAAAATGTCCATTCTCCCTCAACTGATACACAGATTCCCCAGAATTTTAATAAAATTTTTAATGTATGTGAGAACTGACAAACTGAACCTAAAAATTTATATGGAAATGGGAAAGACCATATGAATGGCCAACACAATCCTAACAGAAGAACAAAGTTGGGCACTTATACTACCAGATGTCAGGCTATGGTGTAGTCCAAGAATAGGTAAACAGATCAAGGAAACAAAATGGAGAATTTAGAAACAAACATGCACATATGTGGCTACTTGATTTTTGATAAGGTGACACTGCAGTATAGTGGGGAGAAGTCTTTTGAACAAATGATACTGGTAAATGCATATAAAAATACAGTTGTTCATCTCATGTCATAGACTAAAATCATTTCCAGATGGACTGTAGATCTAAATGAAAAAAGTAAAATAATCAAGCTCCTAGAAGATAACATAGAACATCTCCACGACCCAGAGATAGGCAAAGATCTTTTAAACAGAATGTAAAAAGTGCTAACCAGAAATAAAAGAATTGATAATTGGACTATATTAAAATTAAGAACTTCTGTTCATCAAAAATGCCATTGAGAGACTGAAAAGGCAAGTCACAAACTTAAAGATACTAGCAAAAATATAACTGACATAGACTATGGTTCAACCATTAAAAGGAGTGAATTATTGATGCATGCTGCAACTTAGATGAACCTTGAAAACATGCTAACTGAAAGAAGTCAGACACAAAAAGTGATCAACTCTATGATTCCATTTTTATGAAATATCCAGAACAGGCAAAGACACAGAGACAGAAAGTAGATTTGCAGCTGTCAGGGGATGGGTGGGAGGGGAAATTGGGAGATATGGAGTTTCCTTGGGAGTGATAGAAATGTTCTGGAATTAGACAGTGACAATGGTAGCACAGATATATGAAGACCATGAGGTGTACACTTTAAGATGGCTCAAATGGTAAATTTTATTTCAATTTAAAAATACATGTCATTGTTGTTGTTGTTGTTAGGTGCTGTCGAATTGGTTCCAACTCTTCGCAACACTATGGACAACAGAATGAAACACTGCATGGTTGTGAGCCATCCTCACAATTCTTGCTACACTTGAGCCCATTGCTACTTGGCAGCCACTTTGTCTATCTATCTTGTTGAGTGTCTTCCTCTTTGTTGCTGACCCTCAACTTTACCAAGCATGATATTCCTTTCCAGGGAATGGTCCCATCTGACAACATGACCAAAGGAGGTGAGACAAAGTCTGGCCATTCTCGCTTCCAAGGAGCATTCTGGCTGCACTTCTTCCAGGCCAGATTTGTTCATTCTTCTGGCAGTCCACAGTACTTTTAGTATTCTTCACCAACACCACAACTCAAAAACATCAACTCTTCTTCGGCCTTCCTTACTCATTGTCCAGCTTTAGCAAGCACACAAGGTAATTGAAAATACCATGGCTTGGATTACACACACCTTATCTTCAAAGCGACATTTTTGCTCTTCAGCACTTTAAAGAGGTCTTTTGCAGCAGATTTGCAGAGTACAATACAACATCTGATTTCTTGACTGCTGCTTCCATGGATATTGATTGTTGATTCAAGTAATATGAAATCTTTGACAACTTCAATTTTTCCTCCATTTACTGTGATGCTACTCATTGGTCTATTTGTGAGGATTTTCATTTTCTTTATGTTGAGGTTTAATCTATACTGCAGACTGTAGTCTTTAATTTTCATCAGTAAGTGCTTCATGTCATCTTCACTTTCAGCAAGCAAGATTGTGTCGCCTGTATATTGCAGGTTATTAATAAGTCTTCCCCCAATCTTGATGCCATGTTCTTCTTCATATAGTCCAGCTTCTCGGCTTGTTTGCTCAGCATACAGGTTGAACAATTACAGTGAAAGGATACAACCTCGACGCACACCCTTCTTGATTTTAAATCATGCAGTATCCCCTTGTTCTGTTCAAATGACAGCCTCCTGGTCCATGTGCAGGTTCCTCATGAACACAATTAAGTATTCTGGAATTCCCATTCTTCTCAATGTTATCCATAATTTGTTATGATCCACAAAATTGAACATTTTTCTACAGTCAACACCTTTCTGGTATTCTTTGCTTTCAGCCAAGATCCATCTGACATTGGCAATGTTATCCCTTGTTCCACATCTTCTTCTGAATCCAGCTTGCATTTCTGGAAGTTCCCAATAAACACACAGCTGTAACCGTATTTGAGTTATCTTCAGCAAAATTTTACTTGCATGTGGTATCAATGATATTGTTTGATAATTTCCATATTCATCTTTCTTTGGAAATGAGTACAAATATGTATCTCTTCCAGCCAGTTGGCCAGGCAGCTGTCTTCCAAATTTCTTGGCATAGCTGAATGCCTTTAGCACGGCATCTGTTTGTTCTAACAACTCAGTGGGTATTCCATCAATTCCTGGAGCCTTGTTCTTTGCCAATTCCTTCAGTGAAGCTTCGATTTTTTTCCTTCAGTACCACTGGTTCTTGATCATATGCCACCTCTGGAAATAGATGAACACTGACCAATTCTTTTTGGTACAGTGACTCAGTGTATTCCTTCCATCTTCTTTTGATGTTTCCTGCATCATTCAATATTTTGCCTATTAAAAAAAAAAACCAAATTCACTGCCATTAAGTTGATCCCAACTCATAGTGATTCCTCCTTGCATTTCCGAGGCAGTATCTCTATGGAAGTAGATTGTCTGGTCTTCCTTCTGAGGAGTGGGTGGTGGGTTTGAACCACCAGCCTTCTTGGTTAGCAATCAAATGCCTTAGATACTATGCCACCAGAGCTCCTATTTTGCCCAATCTTTCACTATTGCAATTCAAGCTTGATTTTTTTTTTTTTTTTAAAATCAGTTCTTTCAGCTTGAGAAATGCTGAGTGCTCTTCCCCTTTGGTTTTCTAACTCCAGGTTTTTGCACATTTCATTATAATAACTGACTTTGTCTTCTTGAGCTGCTCTCTGAAAGCTTCTGCTCAGTTCTTTTATCTTTTCATTTCTTCTATTTGCTTTAGCTACTGTGCACTCAAGAGCAAGTTTTAGAGTCTCTTCTGACATCCATTTTGGTTTTTTCCTTTCCTGTTTTTTAATCATCTTTTGATTTCTTCATATATGGTATTCTTGATTTCATCCTACAATTTGTCTGGTTTTTGGTCATTGGTGTTCAATGCATCAAATCTATTCTTCAGATGGTCTCTAAATTCAGGTGGGATATAATCAAGGTCATATATTGGCTCTTGTGGACTTGTTTTAATTTTCCTCAGCTTCAACTTGAACTTGCATATGAGCAATTGATGGTTTGTTTTACAGTCAGCTCCTGGCCTTATTTTGGCTGAAGATAATGAGCTTCTTCTTCACTTCTTTCCACAGATGTCGTTGACCTGATTCCTGTGTATTCCATCTGGTGAGATCTATGTGTACATCACATGTTGTTTATGTTGTTGAAAAAAGGTATTTGCAATGAATATGCCATTGGTCTTGCAAAATTGTATCATATGATCTCTGGTGTCATTTCTATCACTAAGGTCATATTGTCCAACACTGGTGATTCTTGTTTGTTTCCAACTTTCACATTCCAATCACCAGTAATCATCAATACATCTTATTTGGTCAATTTCAGACTGCAAAACTTCAAAAAATCTTTAATTTCCTCACCTTTGGCTTTAGCGGTTGGTGCATAAATTTGAGTAACAGTAGTGTCAACTGGTCTTCCTTGTAGGCATATCTTATCACTGACAGCATTATACTTTTCAGGATAGATCTTGAAACATTCTTTGTGACAATCAATGTCACACCATTCCTCTTCAGTTTGTCATTCCTGGTATAGATGATGTGATCATCTGATTTAAAATGCTGAAAACCAGTCCATTTCAGCTCATGAATACCTGGGATATTGATTTTTATGCATTTCTTTGACAACTTCCAATTTTCCTAGATTCACTCTGTATATTCCATGTTCTGATTATTAATGGATGCTTGGAGCTATTTCTTCTCATTTTGAGTCTTGCCCCATAAGCGAAT